AATGTAAAATAAAAGCTGTCTAAAATTAAAAAATAATACTGAAACCACACCCATTTTAAGTTTGTGCCGTATAGTTCCTATTTTTTATTGTACAAAAGCAGAGAAAATTTTGAAAAATGTGACCATAATTGACAAACGGTACCTTATGGCGGGTAGTGAAATTTGTCTTTCTAGCCTAAGAAATCCAACTTCCTGAGCCCCATTTATCATAAAATTACTCCACAGGATGCAAAAAGTTACCATGAAACTTTTGGAAACAATGATTGTCTAACAAAGCACTCACAGGTTGATATTTTCCATTATAACAATCAATTTTAAAATCCGCCATAAGGGCCCTTTTGTCAATTATGGTCACAAATATTGAATTTTGTACAGTTTGTATCTTTCTTAATCCTTGACCAAATTTGACATTCTTGGTATTAAATTGATTACCGAATCCTGCAGAAAGTAAATATGTTATTATCTTTTGATACTAATTAAATTAAAATTTTTGCAGGCATCGCTATTAGTAGTTATTATAGTTAATTCCCTTTAATGAAATTATTGAACATTACCATAACAACAAAATTCAATCAACACCTACAACATGGATGCTTCCACAGCAATAATTAAAATTTTGAGTAAGTACTCTCTGATTTACATGATTAAAGTAAAAATGCTATAATTGCATGTGGACCACTTTTAATTTTATTATTTATAATTAGCATTATAATTATAAATGTGTTAGAGATGGACTTGATTTCTATCTCCCCAATTGTTGTAACAGTGTTGTAAGACTATGTTTTATGCTGGCCAGCCCTTTAGTTAAAGTTTTGAGACAGAAAAGGAACCTCAGCAATTTGCATTGCTGCTGCATACTGCAGCAATGTAAAAGTGTGGCTGCAGTGCAGCAAACATGCTGAAGCTTCTTCTCTGTCTAAAAAAACATTCTCAGTTTGACTGTCTCAAAACATTCACTAAGTTTTAATAAATCAAGTACATGCTGCAGGTTCTTCTCTATCTCAAAACTTTCACTAATTATTTTCCTTTAATTTGTACTAGATTTATTAAGGCTTAGTGAATGCTTTGAGACAGAGAATTGTTTGCTTTTTTATACAGAGAAGAAGTTTCAGTATGTTTGCTGCATTGCTGCAAAGGTGTGGCTGCAATGAAGGTGTGGCTCAATCAAGCCATGCTCCACCCGCACACACAGTAATGGTGGCAACGTGGCCTTAAGTGGTGAAGAAAGCTTTAGTTTTTCTCAACTTTTAAAGATTTTAGCACACATTTGTTAGACTCTATTTGTTGCATACAAACGTCTATTGAGCCCCTGATGTTAAAAGACTCTGGCCGCTACTTCGGGAGAAGAGAGCCTCGTCTAAACTCACAAAAGTATGAATTTTTGGGCTACCATATCTTTAAAACTAAGATGATTAGAGCAATTCCTCTCATAATAATGAAAGAGAAGGCTTTGCTTTATTGTTTTATCTGCCCAGTTGCTCTTTTGCTCTCACTATGAAAGAGTTGTCGGGGAACCGACCTACGTTTGGCGACTTTGCCAGCTTCTTTATCCATGGAAAAGAAAAATATAGCATTCTCAAGACGGAGAATAACTTTTTCTAGAGCCAGTGTTGATCATAAGACTCTTGAGGACTAGACAAGAAAGCAGTGTCAGCTCAAAAGTGGAGATCAAGCGAACACACACACACACACACACAGACAAAACAACTGCTTTACCCTCGCTTCACGCCTACGTGTGGCTCGGGTAATGAAACACAGACAGACAAACCGAGTACCTAGTCCTCGCCTACGCAAAGCTGGGCGAGGCCAATAAATAAATAAATAAATAAAGTAATAGATAAAATAATTGTTGATGTCCTTATGCTACATGTATATAAAAAATTTTCAACTAAGTAATGCCAAATTCTGAAAAATACCCAAGGCTATAGCCCATGGTTTTTTCCAAAAAATGGCTCCAAAATCATAGGCGGCTGCAGGCCTAGGCATTGGGGGTCATTGCCTAGGTTAAAAATTAGACCGGAAGTAGAAACAATGCTATTTAACCCTTTTACCACACCCCTTTAATTAGAAATGCCTAGGCTGAGTTGGACTTCTGCAGCCGCCAAAGTCCAAAATCACCCCAAATTTTTATTACATTTTCTAATACATATTAATGTTCTTATGCTGTGTAGCAAGTTTAAGCTGATTCCGACTTTAATTTTTTGATTTATGGCCACAGACCATAGACTGATAGTACTAATAATTAATAATTAATGATAGGGGCTTACCCATCAGTCCCTTGATGTACATCTCTACCAGTTAATGAAAACATGTGAGGTATACTAGGACCACATAAATCAATATCCAATATACCAACCTAGCAACACACAAACAAACAAACAAGTAAATATATAATAGAAAAACAGTCTCTCACTTTCTTTCCTTCTTCAACTAGTCCCAGTGCTATTTGACGTGTTACTGTACTCTTACCAACTCCTCCTTTACCAGAGAGGACTAATATCACGTGATCCACTCTTGATAGATTGTTCCTTTCTTTTTCTGTAAAAATAAAAAGCTTTTTAAAATTGACAAAACTTCGAGCAAAACTTAGTATACCACCAAATCTGCCATTTTTACTTTTAAATATTACTCCAATCAGACCACGCCCATTGATGCTTAAATTGATATATTTACGGTATTAGTCTAACTTAGTTTCTAGCTGAGCTGGTCAGTAGGCCTGAGGGGATTATTCCCAAAAAATTTCCTATTATTCTATTCCCAAATTCTTAATTTTTTTGTAATTATTCTTCTGTATTTATGGCTATTATTCTCAAATTATTCATGTAACATAAGAGAAGCCTGTATATAGTCGAAGAGAGACGTGCCTTGTTGATCGCCAAATGTTGAGTTAAGTAACGAAAACACTCATTCTATGCTTCCACTAGATGGCTGTAAAAGCATGATTTTCTTGGCTACATAAGACCAAGCTGGCAGTCCTTCTGAATTGCAATTCCAGCACTCAATTCCACCATTCAACACATGGAGTATGTCACAACACATGGAGTAGCCATTTTTATTCCCGTTCACTACCGTTTATTCTTAATTTATGCTAGTATTCTTAAGGAACCTATTATTCCTAAAATTATTCCAGCATAATCCCCGCACCCCTACTGGTCAGTCCTACCCTTAATATGGCAGCAAAAACCTCAACAATAACAGAAAGTCAAACACTAGGTCAGTCATTTTGTACTTTAGACCTGCTATTAGTGTATCTGTGTTCTGTTACTTTTCATCAGATATTGATGATCTTGCTGAGTTACTTGATTTACTAAAGAGGCACGGGTATTCTGGTACTAGCTACTATGATCTTGGTCTGTTTCTGGGTCTGATCACTCGTACACTTGATGTTATTTCCAAAAATCACAGTGGTGATGTTAGTGCTGGTCTGAGAGAGTGTTTGAAAGCATGGCTGCAACAAGCTGATAATGTGAAGGAAAAAGGTGTTCCCAGTTATTATTCGTTAATACAAGCATTGAGGAAACTGGGGGAGAATGCTGTAGCTGATGGGATTGATAGACAAAGTAAGGAGTTTGTTTTATTTTTAATTTCCGTGATAAACTTTTTGTATGTAGAGCATCCTGCTTGTGCTATTTTCACTGCACAGTGTGAATCAAATGAATGTATTGTGGATGTCCTTCCTCGGCTTGTTATGTTTCTTGGCATGGAAAAGATTATAAGTGAGATGTTAGTGCCTACTACTGGAGAAGGACCAGTGCTGCTTGAGGCAATAAAGAGGTCTATTTGTTTTGATTATCATAATCTGGAGAAATTTGCTACTGTTCTTATGAGATTAAATGCTCAATCAGTCACATCAATAGCACATTCCTTGCTAAAGGATTACAGTGAGTTTAACAATAATTATAAATGACAATGTAATTGTCTTTTTATACTGTGCTGTATTGCTTGATTAAAATAATCACAATTGTCGTATACTGTCATACACATTAAAGCTGGAAATGCCCTGGTTAATATTTTTGTTTAGGGAAAGCTTTTCCTGATGATTATTTTACAATTGTTTCTAAGGAGAATAGTAAGCAGGTTTTTATATAGCATATTTTACATCACTTTTTATTTTTCAGTAAATATTAGTTTGCCCTTAAAACTAACTCCAGAGTTTACAAAGATACGTACCATGTTTACTGACCTAATTGATGACGTAGCTCAAGCTATAAATAATTCTGTGACATATGAAAATTTAAAAAGATACGTTGGCCGCAATAAGGATTTACGTCCTCATTTAGCTCATTGTAAGAATACTGATGAAATTATAGAGCTGATTGGTGATGAATGTTCACTCATTAATGTTGGTTTATTGGAAGGTATTGTGGAAAAATATGAAGTGAAGGAAGCAGAATCATCAATACAGAAATATAAAAATGAGATTGAAACTTTCCATAAAGAAGGACGACCTCTTCGGCAGTTTTTAGACCAGTACTTAGCTCCTGCCTCTCCTCTTCAGTGTGAAACAGCAACCATTCTTGTTCGTAAAGAAGTAAAGGATTACGAACTAAGAGATATCAACGTTTTGATGATTGTTGCCTTTGAAACATTGGCACCAAATGTTCGAGTACACGTTATTAAAGAAGGCAACTCCTTCACCATCACTTGCTCCTTTCTTGTCCTTCTCTCTGAGTCACTTATTGCTACTGCACTTGATAATATTGACTCACTCATTGAGAGAGGAGTAAAGAAACTAACCATTGGATACAGTACTGTATATGATCATGATAAGGTATTGCAATATTACTTAAGTGAAGTCTAAATTATTCAAATTAATAGCTATTTCAGCATGAAGAAGCAGCAACTTCTAAAAAATATATCATGAATTCTGGTATGTAACATTATTTTTTACATGTAACTAGTTTTGTTCTAGAAATGAAACAGCAGTTGTATGCATCAGTTTACAGCAGTCAAGGTACAATGGAGCAGTTACTAATATCAAGGACCATACAACTACTGAATAGTGAAGAGGAACTGGCTAGTGTTCAACAACTGAAAGAGAAGAATGAGAAACTGGAGGCTAAAGTTAAAGTATCATCAGGAATGAAGTGGGAGGTAGATCAATTAAGAACAAGAGAGAGTAAGGGCAAAAGCATTAATAGTTGTTTTTATTTCAATTTCACAAAAGAGGAGAATGTTGAAGAGCTTAAAATGTTACAAGAGAAAATTTCTATGCAAGGTGTGGAAATATTAGAGAAAAAAGACCAACAGAAACAGCTGCAGAAGTCTTTGGAAGAAAAAGAAAAGGAAATGAAAGCTGAGCTACAGAAAATAGATGGATTATTTTACAGTTTCTTGCAAGAGAAGGACACTGAGTTACAGGAAGTCATTCAAATGCAGCTGGTTAATGACACTCAACATTTACAAGGTATAGAATAGTGTTTTTGTATTAGCAAGAGTAGATAATAATTAGAGG